AAGGCAAAGACAATGTTTCACTTCTTTCGCGCGTAGGGACTACAAGCACTCAGTTTTTTAGCGTCTTGCAAACATGGCCTACTGAAGTCATAAAAAGTGTTTTGAAGTTAGGTGATCAGTTTAAAACAGAGAAGCTTGCGTAATAGTCCAACAACTAGTCCAAAAAGTACCAGACTGATACCAGTTTAAACCTGTTCATGCACATGCCTTATTGATTAAAAAAGGACTAGAATGAAGGTGTTTATGCTAGTGTATGTTATTTTTATCATACGCCATCGTTAACCACAAGTCAGCAGCCAAATTTTATACATATGTTAGTACATAGTACGTTTACAAGTTACGCCTGTTGCCACTAACGACCGTCGCGTGTTGCAAATTAGACATTTAAGTGATTTGTGAGCGTAAACCAGTACATTCGGCATGTTAGCATGAGCGCATATACATACATCTGTATTTACATTGCTACTTGTAGACATATTTACATATAACATGCATATTTTTGAGCTTTAGTACTTACATAGATATTTTTGCTGCTGATTGTCCATTCATTTTGAAAAACCAAAAAAGTCTGCTATTTAGCTACTGAAAAAGTGACAACAGCGTCAGCAACAACAAAAACTAATTGCATCTGTTTGCTATTGGTGCTTAAGCTGCTGCATTCAAGGTTAAAAGCGTCAAGTTTTTAACTTGTTTACTCGTTTACGCTTGCGGCTCTGTAGCCGGGCCGCCAACGAACTGAGAAATTTGCTAAATTGTCGTTTGCTTAGCACTTTTTTTGGTGCAATTCGATGTTGCATGCAACCATTTGTCGTTTGTTATGTGTGCTTGAATGGATTGCTGGGGATTGCTGGAAGGCATCCAAACATACATACACATACAAACGTAGCTTAAATAATATGAGCACACCTAGCCATTTTGTCAATTTGCATCAAGGTGAAGAGTGCAGCAGCACTTAATTTGGCCAACACTTCTTCAATTTACTATGTTTGTATGCGTGTAGACATTGAGGTGTCAATCTCAATAACTAAGTATGAACTACGGACACCCGGTCGGTCAAATCGATTTATCGTGGGGTCATGGCATAGTCCACAAGCTCAACTCAAGTCAGCCAAATATAGCCAAGATTTAAAAGCGTTTGCAGCGTTTGCAGCGTTATCCACCCAGTCGCACGATGACCTTCTTTTTAACTAGATGATGAATTATGACTAGGTAGCAAGTTTTTTAGTGAAGCTGGACCTTTTATTCTACATATGACATTAGGGCGGGTCAATTTTGATTTTTTTACTATACGACTATGGCATAGTGGTACTCTACATGAAATTCTAAGCAAATTTAGTGACAAGCTATGGGTCAAAAATCTATTTCGAGAAAGAGTTAATTAAAATAGAGTTGCCACCTGTTTAAAAAATTAAATACAACTTAAATCAAGGGAATAAGGTAATTGAAAAATTTACCACAATAGGGGTGTCAGAAGAAAGAGGCTGTAGTTTGAAATTATTTTGAAGAGTGTTGCCACGTGTTTGAAAATTCGAATTTATTTAAAGTATATACAGGTTATATAAACCCCTCTATTCTAACAGAGTCGCAAAACTTAGCTCATCACTGTTGTGATTTCTAGTGCGCCGCAAAGTACGCCACATAAATTCGTTTTTAAGTGCCAGAAAAATACACAAAAACTTACAAATTTGCATTGTAGCGTCATATTTGTTGCAGCAGCAAACTGGTGTCAAAAAAAGAGTGTTGAGAAATCTTTGGTTTGAAGATTTTGAATTTTTGACGTGTTTGAACAGGATTGCTACCTTTTGAGAAAGTTATTTAATGAATTATTAGAAGATGAGTATAAATAGAAATGCGTTTGAAATTGATTTATTTTTTGTCTGTATTTAGGAAAGCTGACACGTATTTAGAAAATCAAATTCAACTTATTTCAACAGTTAATTGAAATATTTATCACATTGTCAGAAGATTTCGGTTTTAAAATATTTTTAAGAGAAGTCCTATCTTTTTGAAAATCGAAATTATGTAACATACATATGCATACACAAGTCAAAAGACATAAATATTTAATATGAGTGTCAAACGAGTTTTAAGAAAACTTTAGTTTGAAAATATTTTTGATCAGAGTTGCCACCCGTTCGAAAAGTAGTATCTATGTATCTACATAGCTATGTACATATGCATATGTACACATGTTTATATATAGTAAGCGAAGGCATTTTTGTGAAGGTCATCAGATCTGCACAGTCGTCAAAAATGATATGTCAAATTGAAGAACTGAACCCGTAGATGTGCAATAAGATTTAACTTTTTTTTTGTGGTGCAGGGTGATTTGAATGCGGGACCTTTATTCGTTCAAATATTTTTATCGTTTTTGAGTAGGGTTGCCACCTTTTTTGGAAATTAAATTACATTTTGTCGTTTTAACCTATTGCGTGATCACAGTAAATATATATAAATTGGCCCGCCATAATATACATACATATATATAAATAAGTGTACATACATCAGGGTGGTAAAAAAAAAAATAAAGTCGGAAAAATCCGTAAAAATGGTATAGAATTCTTGAAAACCAATATTTTTCGATCAGTAGGCTCTGTTTCTTTTCAGGAGACTTCCAATAATAGTACCCAATTGTTTAAAAATGGCAAAATGGGTGAGAGCACTTAAATTCGGACTTTACTATTTCAAAACCATTTTTGGACCACCCTAATGAAAATATGCTCGTAGGGCGTACAATTTGATTTTATATTTTTGTAAGCCCCAAAATTTCAATTCAAATTTTAAATTGATTTTAGCGATGAGAATTTGTTCTTAATTTTCAACATCGAAAAGAAGGAAGTTTTTCGTCCATAAACTCTATTTTTCCTAATCATTTTACTTTCTTCTTGTTTTCTTGCAGTTCCGATTTGGAGACTTTGCAATTTCAGTTGACTTGCGAAATTCCACATATTAAAGTTCGTGCTCAGTATCGCTCTACGGGTGTATTAATCTTAGTGAAAGCCTCTGGTGCTGGTGATTATTGGGGCGAATATGGTAAGCTATTTACGTTGTAAATTTTTTCCTCTTAGTGTAATTAATATTTAAATGTTTTACAATTGATTGTCTTTTCTTTGCCACAGATGGCGTCAAGGCGAAAATCTACTTCAAAGCAACTCCGAATGTGGCTGACGATGGGCGTACTTATCTTACAGCCGAACAGGTCAAAATGGATTTCAATGTTAAAGAAATTAAAATGGGCGTAGATAATATTGCCAATGGCAATTCAGTGATACGTGAGTAAACTTTTAGTTCACACTTACTATTTATATGTACATGTATGTGCTCAAATAGATTAGGTAAATTTGAATTTAACGAGGAAAATGCCGCTGTCCCTTTACTAAATATGTAGCATTTAATGGCTCTCAAATATGTGAATAGGAAAACGAATAGGTATACGAATACATATAGGATAAGGAATACGAATATAAATATGAATACTAAGTTATCTGCCTGGGCTATCTGGGAGCTCTGGCTTCGTTTTCTCCGAAGAGTAGCTGAAGAAGGTGCCACCAGACGGCGAAACGCAGGCAGGAGTAATCCCCTTTCTAGTAGAGTTGCCGGAAACTGCCCTTTCTATTGCATCTCTCAGGGGATCACTGTCCACGGAGGAACACCCAAATATAATGGTGAAGGTTATACAAGCAAGAGTATTGTGGCTTTGTCCCATACTGCTTGCCACACTCTTCTCTCGAAAGGAGACGATAGCACTCCAAAGGATGCTTCAAATCACCCGGTCCGAACATTCTGCCTATTGTAATCAAAGAAAGTGTTGAGCTACTGTCGGCGACTTTGAAAAGGATTTTCACTGCGTTTCAAGCACTTGCTTTTTTACCACAATCATTGAGAGTAGTTGGCGCCGACTTTATCCCTTAAGTTGGCAATAGTAACAATACTGACACTAAAAGCATCAGGCCTTCACGCAGCATGATATGATGTCCTTCAGGCTTAAATTACTAAAAAGATGAGTTATTATACTCTATTTTGGCAACCGCATTCAGTTTCGGTTATAAACCTACTCACAATTGACTTAGCTGTGCCCTTCTAAGAGCTGAACACTCGCACATCCTACAGTTTCATTCCACGTCGCCTCCTTTATTAGCATCTTTTGCAAATTTTATTATCTGTCATAGTTAAGTAAATGGCCTGTGAAGCCAGCAAACATTAGTTAACATGAACCGAGTCAGCAATTCTCATGCCACAATGCCAGCCTTTGACCTCAATACGGACCCTGAAATTCGTTTCAAAGTACACATCCGTCATCACTTAGCCAATCCGTTAGAGGTGCAAAACTATAGATGGCACTATCGATAGTATCGATGTTTTTTATTTTTCCCTACTATCGATTGTTTTTTGGTCCTATCGATAGTCCGACAGACATGTGATTCAGTATTTATTTTAGTTTTTAGTCTGTTCCAATAGCAGTCCGGTTTACAGGATTTAGTCAGAACTTACAGGAGGTCGTTCCTATTGACATACAACCTGTAAGTGGGAACACATTTGAGAGAGTAACTGAGCAACTGTTCCTAGTCAGAAGTTACAGGATTTAGTCCGGAGTTTCTTTTCCTGTAAGTTCATGAAAAGTGTCAAACGATCAGCTGATTTGCATGTGTAAGCAAAAACAAACAGCGGTGAAAGCAAAGTACCTTATATTTGTAAAAAAAATGGAAGTAAACAACGAAATGCTTGAATATGTATAGATTTTAATAATTATTTAGTGATATTTCAGCTAAATCAGTGTTGTACAAATGACATGTAAACAAACCGACTGACGTTTTTACAGGAATAATGCACTTCTACATCTGTTCTCCTTTTACTCTCATTTGAGAGAGTAAAATTGTAGTTTGACAGTTCCACAGGTTTTAGTCCGAAGTTCAAAGGAACAGACTATTTATTTCTTCTTTTCTTTTCATTTCTCTTAAACATCCAAGTTGAACTAAAAATTTGGTTGCTACTTTTTTAAAAGAGTAATGTCAAATTTGGAAAATAACGAAAAACCTTTCATGTTTTAAAATACCGCTAAAAAACTGATACAAATTAATTTATACCAAAACTTTCAATATTATCTACCACCACTATTTACTCTTTATGAAAAGGTAAATAAAAACCATTACTTCTCAGATAAAAAATGGTTTCTTCTTCTAAAATTGAAATTAACTTGATGAATGCCTTATATATGACGGAGGATATCTAAAACCACAAATATAAAATTTCAGTATGCCCAATTTTTTCCATTTCAATTCATTTCAAATTTTCAATAACTTTACTTCTAACTTAACGGTTAAACAATTAAAAAAAGTGTACAGTAGTTTACAAGAATATCCAAACGTAGTTTCGAAATATATTCTTAAGGAAATCTTCATACGAAAATTGAGCCAAAACCATATAAATACGATACTATCGGCGATATATCGATAGTTTTGAAAATAATATCGAACACTATCGATGGTCTGACTATCGATAGTTTTGCACCTCTACAATCCGTTCTAAATTTTTTCTGTCGAGCTAATCAAAAGTAGCTGTCCACCAGCATAAAATTGCTGTTAAAATCCAAGGAGAGACAGAGACGGCTATAAGCCCCAGGCTCAAGGTATATTGGACAGTAGTATCCTAGGTTGGTAAACTAGGAATTGATGCCAATTATTTTAATTTTTTTTTTCTTTTGCGGAATATAAGTATTTTAAAACTGAGAATAAACTTAAATTTTTTCGCTCTCAATTCCACCGAAAAATAGTTAATTTTTTCCTATATATTACACTTCTTACTATCGACTTTGTGACTCTTTTCAATTTTGTGAAAAAATACCTTCAATTGCTTCCCAAAAATACAACAAAAGAAACGTGGTAACTTTTCTCAAAAGGACTGTTATTTTAAAAACAAAAGCTCTTATTTCAGAAAAAAGAGCTTTAGGCACAAAAAAGTTTGTCCACTATATTATACGATTGTACTGAAAGGGAATCAATTTCAATTATCTCTCTTTACAGAGGCCGCCTTGAATCTCTTCATTAACTCCAATGCACAGGAGTTGCTTAAGGAAATGAAGCCAGCGCTACGGACCAAGCTCACACTGGTCATACGCAACTTCATGGATCGGATTTTCGCGAAAATACCGTTGGATCAGTGGATTAATTTGAATTAGTAAATGCGTATTTCAGCCGTCAGCAGGGCAGATGAAAGCAGTTTTGGTGCAGCAACTGCGTTGAAGCCCAACGCAAGTGCAGTTGAATTGAGTTGAAATCGAACACTTAGCAGTTAATTAGTTTAGCTGTAATTTTATGTATAATTAGTAGTTAGTATTTATTTTAAAAACCAAGTGTTGAAAAGTATGAGTAGATAATCAGTTACGAGCTAAAATTAAGATGAAAAAAATTGCTCCTTCTTAAAATTTACATATTTTATTCACAGTACAAGCACGATTACAAGTAAATGACAATTCTTAAAATAAAATTAAATTAAATATTTTGACCACAAGTAACTATATTATATAGTAAGATTACCTACAAAGTACTGGTAATTATTGGAAAAAAGTGCGTGTTTAGGTGAAAACTGTTATTTTACGGTAAAGCACCGTACTTTTTCAAGAATTTTCCCAAGTCGAGAAAAAATTTTTACTTAGAATTCGCCGCTTTGTGAGATAAAATAGAAATTAAAATTTCTTGAATTTTCAAAGTAGCTGGTATGTACCAATAATCACTTGAGGTTTGTAAACTCGATAAGAAATGTTCATTTGTAAAACATTCTGAGCAAAAAAAAAGGTAAGTTAAAATATAATTTATATGTGCAATTATCAGCAGTTACATAGAATTGAAAAAATTTTTGTTTTGTACCGGCTTCTATTTATCTAGGCTTGCTTGCGTGCATGTGTTTGTGTGACATAAGCAGAAATAACCATAATTTGCTATCAACTGTCAACACAAATGAAAATGCAACTAAGCAATAAACTTTGGGAGCAGCAGCAAACGCTGCAGTAACTTGAAGGGGGTGAGATGAGATGATTAGCACGCGAACTGTTGAAATGCCGTTGAGTTTATGTGGCATGCATTTGTATGTTTGTACGTACATACAGTGCCGGCCACTTGAATAGCGCCGCCTTTTGATCCTCAGTTTTTACGGGTTTCCTTTTGTTTATTTAATATTAATTTATCTTTTATAAAAATATAGTAAAAGCTATGAAAAAACCATGTAAATCCGGTTAGGTTAGGTAAGCCACTGTGGGGCTTCGCAGACACCACTAAGGTCCATAGCATTACCAAATGACCACATTAGACAGGTAATCACTGAGTGCCAGGAGCAATGTTGAAGAACATCGCAGTCTTCTTGGCACCAGTTTGTTCACACCTTGTTCTACCCTATATTCTCGGTGGCTCCCAGATTAGGCAGAAGGCCTGCTCCCAGGAGAATAATCAGCAGTCTTGCTAATCAGCAAGCCCGTCGGCCACCTCGTGACCTGGGACGCTGACGTGCCCCGGAAGCCAGTTGAGATTCGTCCGATAGATGAAGTAAGTACCAGAGGAAGTGCTGTATGACGATAGCGCCTTTATCGCAGCCTGAGCGTCGATATAGAGATATCTGTCTATTTGCAAGATTGTGCTCAGTAGCTCCGCCGCACTTCTTATAATAAATACTTCCGCCTATTCGGCAGCTTAAAGTATTTGTTGAGACCGATATTCCCGCAAACGACTGCCGTCCCTGCGCCTTTTTTCATCTTCGACCCGTCTGTATAGACATTCCCTGAGCCCGAGGCAGTACTGCTCAAGCCCTCACATCAGCCTTCAACCTCTATAGTGGCTTCGAAGTTCGTTCCAAAGTGCAGATCCTAGATCATGTGATCAGTCCGTCCGAGTAAAGTTGACACTATACTACTTGTCCGTAGAACCTGTACCTAAACTGTTCGGTAGCATATAAACTGGCGGCTGTTTTTCACGCTTAATTCTTGACCGATAGGTCTGCCGGCAAAAGGTGCAACAAGAGGTATAGTGCTGTCGTTTGTGTGGCTCTAAGTGTCTCTGTTATGCCGATCATTGAAAGCCTATATATACTTTCCATTCTCTTACGAAATGTTTTATACTCCATTGCTGGCCACCACACCAATACCCGCTGGAACAGTATCGGCTGACTAGTGCCACTGAGACCTTCTTCTCTCTTCGACATTGAGGCGCCACGACAACTTACTATCGATAATTATTCCGGGGAAATTGGTGCTTTGCTTCCACCCCATCCAATTTCGGGTTAAAACAGTTCGAAATGTTTTAATAAAGATCGAATCTCTCTGATTCGCATGGAGTTTTGTTTTACTTTAAAGAGGAAAAATGTTATATTCGAAGTTTTTTTCCTCTCCTGTACAATTTTTAAATTGGGACTTAGCAACTTTGCACTCTAAGCTAAAAACAAAACTGTCAATACGGAGGATCAAAAGGCGGCGCTATTAAAATGGCCGGCACTGTATATATTCATGTATGTTTAGGATGACCACTGCCACGCAAAGTAGGAGTCATGCATGAGTGCTTTTACCAAGGAGCGTGTCGCAGCAATACCCACTTAGCACGCACATCTCAACAACGCAAATTAAAAGGAGTTAAACAAAAATAATGATCAACTTCTCAATCACTTTTGCGGGAGACTGAACGCAGCTTGTGGTTTAGAAATTATTTTTTCAAAAGATAGATGCCACAGCTTGTACTACATATATATGTATGTAGGTTTGAAAGTGTAGAAAAGATTTACTACAAATAATTTTATGGGCGTATATAGTATTTATATAAATATGCCCATAGTCACTTGGTAGCACATTTTTAAACCAGATTAGTACTCTTGTATGCAGAAAAATTATGTAAATGTGTAAAACAGGCAAAAGCGTTGGCAAAAAAACGCAAAATTAATAACTGTCATCATGGGCGGCACATGCATTTCATTCATTAATTCTAAAATATAGTTTAGATATAACTGCATATACATATATCTATACCCAGTTGGAAAAATATCTGCTAATGCATTACATGGCGCGATAAATAATGCAATGCATTTCTTATTAGTTTTAAAATATATTATTTTGCCTAGGCGAATGATGTGGCGCTCATCGTCAGAGGAAAGTTCTTGGACACTCTTTATGATCTTATGCAAGGGTACCTGAACTTGGTCACAAATAGATCTGCTAGCTGCGGACTTGCTATAAATCCTGGAAAGACGGAGCACGTACTATTCACCAGGAGGTACAGAGTGCCTTATTCCTAGCTTCCCTCAATAGGCGGTGTTTCATTTGTTCTCTCTGACATGGTCAAGTTCTTGGGCGTGATCCTGAGTGGGAAGTTATAAAAACATAATCAAGCCGAGTATATTATAGTTAGGCGGTTATTGTCAGGTGGAATGCACTGGAAAGGTCTACTTTTGTCAAGAAGCAAGAACGCGTGCAAAGGGCGGCACTCGTTGGAATCAGCGGAGCGTTCCAGACCACTCCAACTCTACATGCTATGCTTAGCGTCGTACCTGTTGACATTGCGGGCGAAGTAGTGACGTTTCGCTCAAAAGCTCGGAGGATTGGAGTGTTCCCATTCTATCTCCAAATGGATCCTTCTCCACGCACATCCCTCCAAGGGGAGAATGGCAGTCTCTGGATTAGAGGTTCAATAAGCATATTCACGGACGGATCGAAGCTGAGCGGGTGAGTAGGAGGAGGTGTTTTTCAGGCAGAGGCGGCCGCTATAAAAAAAAACAGCCGATTGGCAACGCACCAATATTTTTCCGCCTAGGAGGGTAAATATCTACTCTGGTAGCCAAGCAGCAATCAGAGCACTGGGATCGCTAATGGTACGATCGAAACTGGTCGGGGAGTGCCTGACCTCTATCTCAACTGCCTCGAAATACTTACAAAGAAAGCCGATTTGGAACATCACTTAAAAGTGCAGGACAGATGAATTGGCTAGGCAGGTCACCCTCAATGCCATCACCTCAGACAGGGAGGCCATAGGAGTTCTGTTGACAATCTGCGGCCAGCTGCAGGACATATGGCTTTCTGTCGGCTTAGCGAGCGCTGGCTGAAAATCCCTTACATGCAAAAGTTCCAACATCCTTCTCAGTTGTCCGGCATTCGCTAGACTAAGGTTTATGCACCTCAGTGCCCATTTCATTAACACTCCCGAAAATCTCTCTGGAGTTAACATCAGCTGAGTACTCAGCGCATCTCTTAGTTTAACATAGAGAACCTGTAGTTACCGTTCAAAGAATTTGTGCTATGTGGTATCACAATAGACAATCTAATTAATGCCTAAGTGAGTCCGCCTTGTGGGGTCTGCCACAATAACCTAACCTAACCTAGGTTATTTTGGTTTTTAATGTAGTTGGAATGTATCCAAAAAATTTTAAAGACTTCTTTTCAAATTGCTTCAGCATCCTTTAAAGGTTCGCCTTGGTATTCATGGATTGAGTTAGGGTTCCTTCGGTGGCTCATTTCACGCGATTTTAGATATCTCCGATAAGCTGCTAAAGCGAGCCTTTTTTGAAAATAGTGATAACTGGTGATAATAAGTGGAGGCGAGCGATCTGGGTCTTCAAGTGATGTTTCGCGTCAAACTACTTCAGTAGTGGGTGTTCAAAGGTTGTGTGGTTTTTTGAGCTTCTGCCAAATAAACTAAAAATCAATTGGAATAAATACTGTCGGCAATAGGACCGTTTGAACGAATCTGTCAACTAGAAACGTCCGGTGGTTACCGATCGACTCTTCTTCTTCTATCGTCAAGCTCATATATTGAACAATAAACTTCGGCAAAAACAGTTTTTGCTATTGAAAAAGTGACTA